CCCGCGGCCCCGGGCCCGCCAGCGGTCCCGGCGGGGGGCGCTGCAGCACGGGCCCCTCCCGCCCGGCGCCGGGGAGCCGGCGGCCGCCTTGTTGGTTCCCGCCCTGGGACGGGAGGCTCCGTCCGCTCCCGGGGCGGCCTGGGCGCTGCCTCCGCCTCCCTCCTGCGCGCTCCTTCCCGGTGCGTTTGCCGGGAGGTGCTCCCCTCGGGCGGCGGGGAACGCGGGTGAGTGGGGAGAGAAGTGCCCGGGGGAGACGGGAGGTGGGGGTGCAGATGGAGGCCGAAAGGCCAGGGAGGTGCAGGGTGCTGGTGGTGGAGGGATGACAGGGACCTGCTGGCAAGTCGTGCCGGCCCCCACCCCGCTCCCTGGGGGGAAGCGCGGCTCTCTGAGGGCCTGGACAGGGGCTGGGGCTCTCGATCCAATGAAGAGGGTTCTCTCGGGGCCACTGCTCCCGGGTTCTGGGTGGGGAGCGAGCCTGGGGGCGCCCCGGGGCCCCTTTGGGCTGCCCCTGGCTCTCAAGCCAGGTTACATAAGGAGGCAAGTCGGCTAGGTAACCTGCCCCTCCTCTCCTGCCCAGCCCAGAAGACTCTCTTCTGCCCCGCCCCTCAAAGGAGGTTGAGGGATTGGGCCACAGGGCCTGGAACCCCGGACCCCGGGGTGGAGAGACCCGGGCTTAGTGGGAGGGGCTGGGAAGGTGGGAGTCCTTGGCTTTTCTGCAGGGATGGATGGGCCATCCTAGCGATTGGAGATAGAGGTTGGTGGAAGAGGAACTCAACTGACCCCTTGGGTCAGCTCCCGTTACAAAGTTGCCTGACCCTTGCTCAGTGTAAGGCTCTCCCGACTGGCGTCCGGGGCCTGGTTCTGTGACCTGAGCACATGTGCTCAGGGCAGATGTGCTCAGGTCTCTCCAAAAAGGGCTTGCAGACCGTGTGGGTGTGTGTACTCAGGTCTAAATCTTGGTGGTCTGTCCTCAGGGTCTTAGGTTGAGGAGCATCCGACCTGGAGCGTTAAAGCATGATTGGATGCCTGCTTGTCCTTTAAGCCCTTGCTCTGAACTGTGTTCCCAAATCATCTCCCTCCCTGCCCCCCCACCTCCCTCCCCTGAGGGTTTTTTAAAACACCTCCCATTGCTTTCATCTTTCCAGCAAATCTGGCTGCAGCTTGGATGGATGCCTTATCTTCCTTTGCAGGTTTCTAGGGGAGAGTTTAACCAGGTATCAGGTGTGAGTGAGCATGGCTCTGGCTTTATATAAACCTGAGGACCGGGGAAGAGAAGCAAGATCTATTCTCGTGCCTCTGGCTGGTGAAGGTTTTGCCTTGTTTAAAACAGGGGGGACAGATTTCTGAAAGACTCTTCTGTTCCTCTTCTTCTTTAGCCTTGGTTCAGAGCTACCAGCAGCTCCAGAATCTTCCTGAAGAGCTGGGTGCTGTGAGATTTGAAGGGCTGTTGGAAGGCACGGGCGTTGGGGCCTCTGACTTTCCTCCTAGGTTGGTGGCAGCCACCTCCAAGGAGATGTGTTGATAGGTGCCAACAGGGTCCCCTAAGGCAGGATTTGGACAAGGATCTCTCTACTCACTCAATGCCTCGCAGCCCAGGGTCTGTTGTCTGCCCCACCTGTTTGCAAGACCTGTGGGCAGCTTTTCCAACCTGCAGAATCCTTGCCAGGGTTTGAAGGGCTGGGCTCTCTGGGGCTCGTTTGTTTGTCGTGGGGCTGCTGGTGTTGCAGTGGGCTGCCTCTCTCCCCCGTGTCTCCGTTTCCAGCTCGGCCCTGGAAGAGAGGGGCCAGTGCCATTCCAGGTTGGCCTGCTCAGTATTCATTCTGCCCCAGCTCAACTTGAGCAGCCAGAGCCAGGGCTGAGGGCAAGCTACATTCTTTTCTGCTTTTCTGCTGCAGGATGCAGTTTGCTTTTTTCCATGTGAATGAATTATGTTTGAAACCGAAAGGAGAGGAAGAGAAAAATAGAGTGAGTGTGTACGGGTATGTGTGTGTGCATACCTATATAGGCAGGGGGAGAGCAGCAGGCACATTATTTTTCCATTTTCCTTTAATTAAGGCTCTGTGGAGGTGTGTTTGAAAACAGAGGGTCTCCTATGCCTTTGAGGAGGGTGAGAACACTGTTTTGGCTGCGTCCCGGGCCATATGCAGCGTATGGTGGCCAATGAAACTGGGCCTGGCTCGTTCTGTTGCTTGTCTTGGCAGTCGGTTCCGTGGCTTGTGTTACCAGCTCTGGAACTTACGGGCTGCCAAGCTCTGTGTGCCTGTGTGTGTGTGTGTGCACTCGTGTGTGTGTGTGTGTGTGTGTGTGTGTGTGTGTGTGTGTGTGGTTTGGCCTCTCGAAGCTCTGCAGAGACAAATGCCTTAGCGACCCAAGGTTGGAATTTTCAGTCTGTGTTTCTTTACACTCATTTGCCGGCTGTGGGAGGCCCAGCGAGAGCCCCCCATTCTGGGTTTTTGTTGTTGTTGGTTTTTTTTTGTTTTTGTCTGTTTTCTTGCTGCAGCCCATAGGATTCCATTTGTGGAGCTCCATTTCCAAAACTTTAGTTGGCCAGTGGCATTTTTTTTAAGGGCCAAGAATTTGTCACCCGCCACGTGCGTGTCTGTGTTACGTATCATACTATGAACTACCGACACCAATGAACGCACATGGGGTGAGGCGGGAAGAGAGGATAGAAGGCTTGTCCAGTGGTGGTACCTTGCCAGCTCTTTGCTGTTTGGGATAAGGATCTTGGCAGAAATGCCTTACCGTGTATTTATTGAGCACCTACATTAGGCAGGGGAGAAAGCTGTGTTTACAGGCGGGGCCTCGTCGGAAGCATTTCTCTGGTCTCCAGGGAGGAACCTTTCCTGCGGGGAGAGGTTCCGGTCTCCTCTATGGGCCCGGGTGGCCTTGCGAGGATCGCTCATGCTAGTGTGTGCCATGCCGCTGGCTTCCTCTGATCGCTGCCTCCCCTCATTCTCTTCTTGTGGGGATCTAAGGTCTGTCCCTTTCTAAGCAGCGTAGGGATACCATAGATTGAAGGACACAGAAGATGCTGGCCCTCTGCTTCTGGGGGGAACACACTGGTGGTGCCTTGCCAGCCATCTAGGCAGCTGTGTTCTGGCCTCCGGAGGAAACTTTAGGAGAAGCCAAGGCAGAGAGACATGTATTCGGCCTCATCTCTACCCCTCTGTACCCAGCATTGATCTGCCCTCCTCTGTTTCTCTGTTGCAGTAACGGCCTGGATGCAGGATGGTCTTGCCCCTTGGAGTTTACAGCTGGAAAGTGGGACAGCAGAGAATCCTCTGGGGAAGAATGTTTCTCACAGCCCTAGGAAAGGGAGATCAGTGCTAGGTGGGAAATGTGCGGAAGGGATGTCGACGGGTCACCCAACACTAGGGTTCCTCCAGGAAGGAAGGCCTTCATGGCTACGCTGACTTCACGCTCACTAGGTGCAGGCGTTGTTCCAGGTACTTTCCAAGTATTAACTAATTTAATCCTCTCCTCCGCCTTACAGGCGAGATAGCGTTATTTGTTATTCCCACTTTACAGCTGAGGAAAGCGAGATGTGGGTTAGGGAACTCTCCCAGGGTCACACAGCTAGTAAGGGGCAGACCTGGGATTCGCTCTCACATGTGCTCCCGAGTTCCTCTTCCGAACGTGCCTCGCTCTCCTGCCTGCAGAGCTGAGACAGTTGTGCGGAGACACTTGTGCGGCCGCCCCATTCTTAGTCTTAGAGATTTCTCCATCCTTTCGTTCCTTGCCTTCTGGATCGGCTTATCTTTTGGAAGCTGATTTACCCACCTCGTTTCAGATTCCAGGAGACAGATCATTCCAGATGATTCCTTAGCTCCCAGCACAGGTCTGGTATTTAACTCTCCGAGATTCACGATAGTTAGTACTACGTTTTGTGACCACTGGCCTGGAACCTTTCCGTCTGCAACCCCCCTCCCCTTCCTGGCCGTGGACTTCTGTCCTCCACATTTTCCTCCTGGGAATCTTCCCAGGCTCTGGCTCCCAAGACCTCTCACCCCCTCTTGCTGATTCTCAGGTGCTGGCTACCTGCTCTTGACTTCTAACCCCACTGGGGCTCCTGGGGCCTGACCCCTGAGCTCCCTTGCTCCTTGGCCTGCCCCCACTCATCTCCACTTTCTCTCGGTGCTGAGCCTTGCAGCCTCGGGTCCTCTGCACTCATTGTGCGCCCATCCTGGGCTCCCGATGCCAGCCCAGGCCCGCTGTTTGCCTGGAGGGGGGCTGCCCTTCTCAAAGAGGACCAGGGACTTTAGAGCCTCCCTTAAACTTTTATTTCTGTGGACAGAGAGTCCACGGTGCAGATCCTAACTTTCTCTTAACTTACCCCCTACCGCCTTTCATCTGTCTTTGCCATTCTGGACGAAGATGATGATGATTGGACACTTTTTAACAAGAATAGCCCATTATGAGCATGACCCTTCAAAGTAAGACTATTATTTACTTGTAGATGTTTCCATTAAATCAATGATATCTTACACATTTACATATAGGAAACAAGAGAAGAAGACAAGAGAGGAAAACTTAGGTTACCTCTGCTTTTCGTTCTTTTGGCTGAAATGACCCTCCATGTTAGCATCTTCCAACAGGGCCCATTTTCTGGAATTGAAGTGTGTTGTGGCTTTTCTTGGGCTTGTACAAGGCAGCGCCCCACCCTGTGCTCCTACAAGACCCTGAGTAAGTCAGAACAGGGGGGTACAGCCGTCAGATCTTTGCTGTAGGTTCTTGCCTCTTGGACCCATCGGGTCCCTATTTCTTCCAAGCCCGCTTTTAAGGGAGCTGCCTCACACCTCCCCAGATCTTAGGCTCCATAGCAGCTTAGGGTCTACTGTGACTTCCTGGACACGTTCTGTCTTATTCATGCCTCCCTTGCCAGTCTCATCCCCCATCTGTGCATTACCCAGCTTTTCTTTATTGGCTAGTTTCCAAGTTGTTCCTGGTCAATGTCCCAAATTGCCAAAATCATTTGGGATTCTAGGCCCTGTCTTTTGAGGTCAAGCCCCATTTTCCCGTTTTGGTCTTCTGCAGACATGTAGAGTCTGCTCTTTATTTATGCATCCCAGTTACTAACAGAGACTTGGAGGGTGTTTATCTTCCTTTCCGACCTCCGGGGCCCTGAAGGGAAAAAAACTCTGGGTTCTTCCCTCAAAGCTTTGAGTGCATAGTTCTCCTTTTCCTCCTAAATTGTTTCCGTATGGAACAAGCAGTTTGGGAGATGATTTCACCTCTTGTCATCTTTCCTATGTCTTCCTTGAAGTGGGTAAATTCCTCCTGGCTGTTGCTGGTTCCTTGCCACTGTCCCCCCCCCCCCTTTTATAGATCCCTAAATCACATCGAATTGTTTTATTTTTCAAATCGCCAAAGCTGCCTTTCAACCTTGGATCGTCAGCCGGCTCTTCCAGTTAGTGAAGACTCGATTCTGAAAGGGAGCCCCTCCTGCTCCTGCGACCCCCCACCCCCACCCCCAGAGCCCTGTAGGATGATTTCGTGCTGGTGAATGTCAGCTGTTGTGATTGTCTCCTAGGAATGGCATGTGTTAAGGACTTTGTGGTTTGTATCTGAGCATTTAGGGGCACCCTTGTTGGGGGGGGGAGGAGAGAGAGGGGGGATGTTTGCTTCTGCAGAGGAAAGCCTGGTGTCTGAGCCTCAGAGTGAGGCTTGTCACTGGGATGGGTTCACAGGGGAGCAGGAATGGCAAGAATTTATGGGGCTGCTGCTCCCAGGGGGTGGTTGCCCCTCCGAGGGGGTTCAACAGTAGCAAAGAATCCATTATATTTTGGGATCATTTGTTAGTGTCTCATTTATACCATCTGTATGAAAATAAACAGAAGCTGCAAGCAGAGACTATCATTCCCGGAATAGAGTGGGGTCTGGCTTGCGTCTCTTCCTGAGATGGCTTAGGCAGGGAAACATACAGAAGCCTCTGGAGTATTTTTCTTGGGGTCTACTGTGGGAACAAATAATCTGGAGGTGGATAATGAACATCTCAACTCCCAGAGACAGATCCTTACCCCACTCACAGAAGTTTGCCCCGCCGTGAATTTTTTTTTAATCATTTGTTCATTCATTCATTTTCATTTATTTATTAATTCAGTAAGTATTTGTTGATTAGCCTTTCTGTAATCAAGCATCCTTTTAGGAGCCACTGACTCCTTGTGGCATCAGTTCAGGTCTGGCAGAGGGGATTTTGTAAGGTCTGCTCCTCTCCTGAAAAAGGAGATGTGAGTTTCTTTTGTCAGGCTGGCTCCAGTGGCCTGAAATCACTCCCCTCTGCCTGTGAGGTGTCCACATGGCTGGGCCCAGGCATCATTTTTGCCGCATAGGAATGAGTCCTTACGTTGGCCCCTTTTGTATTTTCCCTGGAGGAGGCCCCGGGAGACATGCAAGCTGATCCACTCCACCCCAGAGCTGCCTCCTGGGGTAGGAAGCTGCCACCTTCTCTGCATTGCAGACCTGCCTCTGGGGGCGGGGGCGAGGGTGACTTCAGTCCGGCTCAGGTTTAGGGAAGGTCACAGTACACTGACACACCACAAGCAAGATGTCTGAGGGGCCATGTCCATGTCTGGGATCTCACCCAGGAGGGTGTTCAGGGAGCTTCCTAAACCTGGATCTGCACTGAAAAAGGCAGAATAGAGGGTCTTCTGCGCAAGAGAGCAATCCTCCACTAGGGGCTAGTGTCTCAAAACCCACCATTAAAATGTCATTCCTTCTGCATTAATCTCTCTTGAATGCCAGGAGGGGAAACAGAAAGGACGGGGTGAGAAAGCTTTGGTTCTAAAACCCAGGGACCAGGAGTCCAGCCCTGGCTTTTCCCCTGTGTGACCTTGGGCAAGTTGTTTAACTTCTCTGAGCCTTAATTTCCTCATCTGCAAAATGAGGATGTGGTTTAGATAAGCACAGGGCCTCTTCCAGCTCTAAGACTATAACTTGATGCGAATGAGTCTCATATCCTTATCTGAGACGGCCTGGGGGACCCTAGGTGCTAAGGAGGGCAGAAAGGTGTGGGATGGGAAGGCAGGGCTGAGGGCCCCCCGGTGTGGGAGGGTGTGGGAGGCAGAGCGGGTGGAACACAGATGTAGGGCCTGGGGCACCAAATGTGAACTTGGGTGCTAGGCAGGGAACTCTGTACAATCGGCCTTATGGGCAGATGTGGCTGGTGTGCCGAGGGCAAAATGGTAGGTCCCCTGTCCGCTTTAAAGAAAGTGATGTCCAGTGAAAGCCTTTGTGGTTAGAGGGTACAAATCCCTCACATGCTTTTCCCCTTCAGAGTGCAGAACCTATTGAGAAAGAGACACGGGGTTGGATAGGGAACCAAATTTCACCTTGAAAGCAAAACAGAGTTGGAGAATGTGGGGTGCACTTGTGGCCAGAAGGGGCTCCCTGGTGACCCCCTCTCCCACAGTTTAGACCCGGCCACCTGAACGGGAACAAGGGATCGTGGGTTATCCCCGAGGGCCACTCTTGCGGGAGGCAGAGAGCCCAAGGCAGCGTGGCCACGTGAGAATTGTGGCCAACAGAGAAGTGCGTGCAGTGGATGTCACATCTCCCCTGTCTCGAGAAATACCTCCTTCTTCATGGGAAGAGACTGATGGAGATGGAAAGATAGGTCAAAGCTCCCCCAGGATTTCCAGGACAGTCGAGGTTTTGATTTTACAGCCCTATGCAGAGGTTGGGAAGAGGGAGAGGTTCTTCCTGGAGCCTAGGAGCAGATTTGTGATTTATAAGGCTGTGCACATTTGATCTGCATATTCTCAGTGCCTCCTGGCTCCTAGGTGGTCAACAATTGGATGGGTGGTTGGATGGATGGATGGATGGATGGATGGATGGATGGATACGAGCCCTATGGGGGACCAGATAGGTCTGACTTTTTTGGCAGACATACTTTCTTCACTGCCATCCACACCCTGAAGTGACCGTTTCTTACTCGCAACCTTCTCCCAGCAGAGAGAAGGAAGAAATAAGAATTCCCTTGGTATTGACCTAAGTTATGTCTTTCTTTCATGCCTGAATCTTTCTTCCTGGCAGAGCCACAATATGTGTTTGCTTTGAGAACAAAGAGACCAGGGAGGACTTTTCTGGTCCCGGGTGCCACTGGGAAAGCACACGCTAATGAATTTCATCTCTTTGCCTCAGTATCTTCCTCATAGATGCCACATGCACACACTCACACACACACTTACCTTTAGCTCTGATTTGCTTCATTTCATATTCAGGGTGTCTTAGCAAGTATGCAGAATGGGATGTGTGATTTGAGGGGAGGCACCGTGCCAGACCAAAAATAGCTCCCTCTCAAACAGGTGCGAAGGTGCTTGAAATCTCACCGTTATAATCCATTTTCCTTGGAGGCAGCATGCTGCGGTTTAAATCCCAGCTACCCCAGTTTTAACTGTGTACGGTCTTGAGCAAGTTATCTTTCTCAGCCTTGGCTTCTGCCTCTGCGTAGTGGGTCTGACTGTGTCTCATGGGATTACCGCAGTGCCGAGCACAGAGCACACACTGAATCAGTGTGACCTATGTCTGGGTTAAGCATTGCCTTCAGTGCCAAAAATAATGTTGCTGGGAGTTAACTGATCAGCGTTTCCCTCTGTGACAGAATGAACTTAAGGGCAGGAGGAATGACTGGGTGGGGAAGGGGTTTAGAGGAACATTAGTGAAAGAAAGGAAGAGGGCCTGGCAAGGGATGGGGGCTTAAGCCCCTCATGGGACCTCTCACCTGGCTGACAGCACGTGTCCTGATCTTCTCGAACCCACTCCAGGCTGGGCTGCCGCTCCTCCTGCTATGATGCCTGGGCAGATTCCAGACCCTTCCGTGACTGCGGGCTCTCTGCCGGGGCTCGGCCCCCTGACCGGACTCCCCAGCTCGGCCCTGACAGCGGAGGAGCTGAAGTACGCCGACATCCGCAACATTGGGGCCATGATCGCCCCTTTGCACTTTCTGGAGGTGAAACTGGGCAAGAGGCCCCAACCCGTGAAAAGTGAGGTGAGCGAGCCTTGTAATCCCCCAGGCAGAATCCAAGGGTAGGGTGCCTGGGCCAGAGCCCCAGGTCTAGCCCCAACATTCGCTGAGTGACCGAAGCATTGCTGTTCGGTGTGGGCTCTGAGGACCAGTATGTCCTATGTCCCCCTGCAGCTTGTTAGAGATGCAGCATCTCAGGCCCCACTCCAGAACTGCTACATCAGAATCTGTGTTTAAAACAAGCTTCCTGCCCCCGCCCCGGAGGATTCACGGACATGTTAAAATTTGGGAAGCTCTGGGCCAGGGCAGGATGCCGAACCTGCGTCTGTTTGTTGCAGGGGCAAAGGAAGAGCGATTGATAATAACAATAATAAATAATAATATATTGGCAATCTCTCTGGGATGTTGGGAGGGTCAGGGGAGATCGTGGAAACATGCACATGCTTTAAAAAGGACACACGAGAATGCCAATCGTGGATTAGCTTTAAAAATTATTGTTGTCGGTCACATCATCGTCTCTACTCCTCTTGGCCCTAGGCTGGAGTTGAACATAGGCACTTGAGGAAGGGTGGTATGGCGGCCCTTCCCAAAGCAGCTGCCAGAGATGGGCATGGCCTCGGTCACTCAGCATCATGCGCCTTAAATGGTGTTTGCAGAGGACCCGCGTGTGAAGCACTCCCTCCCCAGGTCCCTTGAGGCTGCAGCTCCCATGAGCCTTTCCTTGCAGAAGAGCAGCATTTCCCTGGGGACTGGTGAGAAGCAGAAGTCCCCAGCGTGGGTGAGCATCAGTGCTGTGCACGCCCCCAGCCACTTCCCCAGGGCTGGCAGTTTGTCCAAAGACCTGCCCCAGTGAGGTCCCCAGCCTGTGCCATTTCTGCAGAGAAATTGGACAGAATGGCTGCCAACCTGGAAGCGAGAAAGAGCGGGTGGCGGGAGGTGGAGAGGGGGTAGGGGCAGGGTGGGGTGGGCACGGAAGCTGCTAAGCATAGGTGCTCATTCGTAAGCAGAGGGGCGCCTGGATGTGATTCCATCCTGTAGCCTGGAGCTGAGGGCTGGCCTTTCCGGAGAGGGGGATTCTTGAGTGGGGAAAGGTGTCTGGGTACTGCCTTGGGTTTCTTATACAGCTACTGCTCTGCTCCCCCCGCCATCCCCACAAGTACCATAAAAATTGCAAAGAGGGGCTGCTGGGGGCTTGGTCAGCGGGGGCAAACTGGCCATTTGCGGGCTGTGTCTGGCTCTCGGAGGTGTTTTATTTGGCCCGTGCAGTGTTTTAAAAGAAACTTGAACCAACATTTCACTTGAAAATTTGGATTTTAATCTTTGATTAAAAAATTGGGAGATCTGGTCACACCGTACCCCGTTTTGGCATGGCAACAGCTACATGGAATGGAAAGCCCTGCCTCACCCCTCCCCTCCCCTCTCCTCCCCTCCCCTCTCCTCCCCTCCTTTTGCCACAGACCCCCACACCTCCCTATTGTTCTTGATTTTGTTTACACTGTTGGTTTTGCTTTTGTTACCACCAGCTGCCTTCATTTACCTTAACTGCTTGCCCCCCCCCCCAAGCTGTAGACATTTGCACCGGAGACACCTGCATTTGGTGCCTTGTAGGTGCCCATTAAACACTGTTAAGTACCAGATGAAAGTTGACGGTAATTATATTCTTCTGAGTCGATTTTGTAAATCAGCAGTGCTGTTAATAGCACTTCCTGGCTTATTTAGGTTCTGTTTTCTTTATGGGGGGCCCTTGTCTTTGGTCTTTTGCTATTCACTTTCCCAGTCTCATAACTTGAAAGCATCCGTTTCTGGGTCGTTCCACAATATAAGTGCCATTTAAAACCAGCAGCTGAGCCGTTTCACTGGGGCGCTGAGGCCGGGGGGACCAATGAAGAGCCAGGTGGCTTGGTTCAGGGGCTGGCCCAGCGGGGATTTGCCCCAAGGCCGAGTTACCGCCCCTTCCCTTTCTGCAAAGGGCGCTGGAGGAACTTTTCCTTTTCCTTTGGAAAAGGGCTTTATTTGGGTTGGGTATTTTTACATTTCACAGCCTCCCCCAGATTGGTGGCATATGCCCCGTACCTGACAGTGACGTGCGGTCTTCACAGGCATCACAGGCATCCACAAACGCGCACCACCCCGGCCGTGAAAATAACAAGCCGTTTTTAGGGCATATTTGCATGTCCCCTCCCCCGCTGTCAGACTGCAGCATCGTGGGGGCGAAGAGGCAGATGGAACACAGCAGACTGAGCTGGCGCGGAGCGAGGTCAGCCCTGCACTGGGAACTGACCTCCAAACGCTTCCTAGGTCAGACCGAAGGTTGGGGGAGGGCCATTCTTACAGCAACTAGAGAACAAAGCAGGTGGGGAGAGAAAGTCGCAGCTGGAGAACCTTTGGTCCCGCAGATTTATTTGCATATGGCAAACTGTCTTTGGTGGATTCTCACATTGGCATTTTAGACTGGTAGAAGTTTCTTGGCTAATAATAAGATACTAGCTCACCATTATTAAGCATTTAAGATGCACCAGGCCCTGTGCTAAGTGCTGAACATACACGATCTTGTTTATTCCTCCTTACCCCATCCCGACCACCGGGTTAAAGAAGAGGAATTTGAGGTGGGGGTGGGGGGATGTCAAGTCATTCAGGGTCACATGGTTACGTGGTAGTGACACTGCTGCTGACAGGGCACCGTCCCGGTTGCACTGAGACGTGCACCAGGCACAGTTCTGGGCGCTTTTTGCGAAGTATCTCATCAAACCTGCACAAGAACCCTTTGAAGTAATTACTGTTACTTTTGCAGTTTATGCCCGAAATATGGATGAGATTGGCGAGACTCAGTGAGGTCCAAGGTCATGCATGCAGCTGGGAAATTAGCCCCAGCAGTCTGACGTTAGAGCCGGAGCTGTGTTGCCCCCCACCAGCTCTCTTCCTTACACACTTCTAATCAGCACACTGTCGGGCTGGGGAGGCCGGATGAACCTGGCCCCGGAACACTCGATCATTTTGATGACATAGCCCAATTATTGCTGAGCCCCGCACTTCTGCAGCCGCATCGTCTCCCAGCCCCCGGGGGGGAGAGGGCTGGCCTAGCTGCTCTGTGCAGGTGGTTCTGTCCGAGCTGGCTCTCAGGCAATCCACCTTGCAGAGGCCGCGTTCTCTTGGCCGTGGCCAAACACACGACGCAGTTTGGTAAAAGAAAATTGGAGGAATTAAGTTAAAGGACAGGTTTTGTAAATGATAAAGTGTTTTGTGCCGAGGTTGTTATTATTATGTGGTTGACACTTAAAAGTTAAACTGTTTCGGTGCCAAGGGCTTGGCTGCAGTCCATTTGTTGAGCAGATATTTGCTAAGCAACTACTATGTGCCAGGCACTAGGAACTGAAACATAAACAAAGCCCCTTCTCTTGGAGCTGTATAGCATAGTGGGGGGCATCCGGAAATGCACATAAGCAAAGTCATATATAATACAAAAGGTCAGGTAGTGGTGAGTATTGTGAAGAGACACTCAGCGGAGCAAGCAGATGGAGAGTGGCCAGAGGGCTCATTCTGATGTCTGGCTGGGGGATCTGGGGATGTTGCCTTCTGGGTTATGGGATGTTTAGAACCGATGCTTCTTCCTCGCCTTTCCTTTCCTATGTTCCTTTTCAAGACAGTGTGCTCTCTAGCTTTCTCCAGAGTTTTCCTTCTTTTACTTTCCGTTCTGTAGCCCCAACCAGCCAAACTCTTCAACCCACCAGACCCTACTGGCCTGAAGATCTTGGCCCGTCCCAGGGCATCTCTGAGTGCGCTGCTGTGGCCACACCCTGCCTCTGCACCTGGAATGCATTTTTAGTAGGGAAGGCAGGGAGGCCAGAAACCCCACCCTTGTGCACACGCACGTGCACACACCAAGCACTCACTTAACCACCTGCTAGATGGGATCCCTTACCCTCTTTGCCTTTGTAGGGCTCTAGAGAGGACTCAAGTTCAAGGGAGGTTGGATTGGATAACCTTTTAGGAAAGAGTCTGCAAAGTGTCATTCCATGGGCAGGAGTCAGCCTACAGATGAATCTCGTTTGGCCCCTAACAGTGCGGTTTTCTTTCTGGCTTTTTTTTTTTTTTGAATTGAATGAGTTGCTATATTTAAAAGCCAGGAAATGTGGACTTTCTGGCTCCTTTAAACAAACCAGAATATCTGGCCACTCTAGGCCCACACCCTTATATGCACCGAGAAGCTGGAGCTGAGTAGCAAGTGCTCACTGTATTTGCACATAGCCTTTAGCTTGCTGCAGTCCCCACCACTCCCTGTTGCCTCACACACAGCCTGGTTTTGCGTGCGTGTCCTGTGTTTAGGTCCCAAAGACAGAGATGACATCTTATGTTTCCTTTTATTTCCACCAGACTGTGCAGTATGCCTTGCACAGATTGTATGGTTTTTTTAAATTTTTTTAATGTTTATTCACTATTTTTGAGAGAGAGAGAGAGAGAGAGAGAGCGAGCAAGTGGGGGAGGGGCACAGAGAGAGGGAGACACAGAATCCAAAGCAGGCTCCAGGCTCTGCGCTGTCAGCACAGAGCCCGACGTGGGGCTCAAACTCCCAAACCGTGAGATCATGACCTGAGCCGAAGTCAGACGTTTAACCGACGGAGCCACCCAGGTGCCCCCAGACTGTATGTTTGATACATGCTTGTTGGTTTAAACACTAATCAGCTATGCCAACTTTGCAAGTCACTTAAACTTTCTGTCCCTTGATTTCTGCATCTCCTAATTCTTATCTCTGAGTGTCGTCCATTTGTTTTTCTATTTCTGAACTCAAGCAACTTCAGGCAGAAAAGAAAAAAATACAATGAACATCAAACCAACTATTCCACAAACTTGGTTAATCATCAAAACCGCATGGAAAACTTTTTATAAATACAGATTTCTAGACCCCACCCCGGGGGCCCATGCACTCAGAAACTATGAGGGCGGAGTCCAGGGAATCTGTATATTTTGTAGGCTCAGAGATTCCTGGGCTGCATTTGGGAACCTGATTTTCACTGTTTAATACCTCT